CGGAATGCGTCGTGTTCATGGGGAGGCAACGGAATGCGTCGTGTTCATCGGGAGGGCTTGGACGGAACATGCGATGGGAATGAGGCCTGGCGTACCGCACAACGGAGGAAACGGCCTTGTGTTCGACCGGCCACGTTCGAAATGGGATCCTGTTCATCGGGAGGGGTCTGGCGTACCGCAAAACAGAGAAAACGGACCTCCTACGGTCGAAACGGGGGTCCTGTTGATCGGGAGGGGTGTGGCGTATCCAAAACGGACGAAACGGACTTGTGTTGGAGCGCTACGGTCTAAACGGGGGTCCTGTTCATTGGGAGGGGTGTGGCGTACCACAAAACAGGACTCCACGGGATACTGTTCATCTCCACCGTCGACCCCCTCCAGCCTTCACGAGCTACTATTCATCCACCGTTGACCTCCTCCAGCCTCTACCTGCGACTGTTCATCCACGGGCTCCTGTTCATCCAACCTCCACCGCGCGCTACTCCACCGGCTATTGTTCAACCAGCCCTCTCCACGGGCTCCTGTTCAACCACCCCTCCACGAGCTACTGTTCATCCTGCCCTCCACCGTCTATTGTTCATCCTGCCCTCCACGGGGTGGTCCTGTTCATCCAGCCCTCCACGGGGTCCTGTTCATCTAGCCCCAACCGGCTCGATCGATCGGGGTCCTGTTCATCCAGAGGCAACACCACGGGGTCCTGTTCATCCACCCCCATCAGGAACTGTTCATCCAATCCCCCCCTCCCGCAACACTCACTATTCATCCAGAGGCAGCATTGATCGGCTTCAGTTAGCAGCAGTAGCGAAGGAATCGCTCGATCGGGTTCAGTTAACAACCATCGATCGATTGCTCGGGTTCAGTAACGCGTAGCCTGCAGTGCAATCGCTCGGGTTCAGTTAGAGCCCAACGCCTCGCTCGGGTTCAGTTAGAGCCAACGCCTCACACACACGCGTGTACGTGTACGAGAGAAACGCACATCGCTCGGCCCCCGACCTCCCACCGTAACCGGGAACTCCCTGAAATTTTTCTTGCCCTCGCTTCTACCACGGTTTTTTCCGTCATGGACGGCCCAAAGAATGTCATGCAGCTGCGTCTCCGGCCCGCCAAGACGAAAAGCCCATTTACTGTCATGATTTTTTGTCATAGAAGTAGGAGCCCACCACATGTATGATGATACCGGGTTTTGTCACAATTATCATCATAGAAGTGTCATATGTATGACAGAAATTTTTTTCGTTCGGCCCAAAATGTCACGGATGTGTCTTTTTTTGTAGTGTAAGTTGTCATCGGTGCAAGCAATAAAAATTGCTCTCTAAATATGTATGACTTATTAGTGTGGGAGAAAATAAGCTTTATATGATCATGTGATATGGAAGAAATAAAAGCGACGACTGCATAATAAAGGTCCATATCACAAGTGGCAATATAAAGTGACGTTTTTTCGCATTAAGATTTTGTGCATCCAACCATAAAAGCGCATGACAACCTCTGCTTCCCTCTGCGAAGGGCCTATCTTTTACTTTTATCTCCTACCTTGCATAAGAGTCATGGTGATCTTCACCCTTCCTTTTTAAAATTTTATCTTTGGGCAATCACAACATGTTGGAAAGACCCTGGTATATATGGCTAATTGGATGTGAGTTTTCATGAACTATTATTGTTGACATTACCCTTGAGGTAAAATGTTGGGAGGCAAAACTATAAGCCCCTATCTTTCACTTTGTCCGATTAAAACTCCATACCCATAAGTATTGCGTGAGTGTTAGCAATTGTGAAAGATTATATGACAGTTGACTATGTGGACTTGCTGAAAAGCTCTTTTATTGCTTTTTGCACCGATGACAACTTATTTGAAGGATCTTATTCAATCTATATGTAGATGTGGTGGATTCTCATGACAAGAAACTGGGTTTTAGGGTTTTTGGGTGCACAAGTAGTATCCCTACTTAGTACAGATTTTTGGCTAGCAAAAGATCCTAAGGAAGCACCACATGTTGGAGGTTCCATGACAATATAACTTTTATGTGAACATAAACAAACATAACCCATTATGTTGTCTTCCTTGTCCAACGTCAACTACTTGATCAAGCTTGAAAATAATTAATGGGGGCTCACTATCATAGAAGATGTCCTATATGTGAAATCTCTCTTCCTTTAATATTCTTTCATGACACTACTGCAGGATGCTGCTAACACGACACTACAATCATAGACCCTTCGAGAAACTGTGTGCGATGCAATAATCGCAAACGGTGGTGTATGAAAACCGACAAAAAGGGTGCAAAACATTTGCGATGGAGGATGCATCAAACACGGTTCAGATTTTAGTTGCGTGTGCGATGAAGGGCATACGGTTCAGCTCAATTAAATATTTGCGATGAGGAGGAACAAAAGAAATAGGCAGCCAGATGAAGGCATGTGCGATATACATCATACGGTTCACTGGGATGAACTGTGTGTGATTACGCAACACAAAAGAAATGGTCAGCCCGATCAAGGTGTGTGCGATGTACAACATACGGTTCACTCGGATGAACTGTTTGTGATTAGGCAAGAGAACAGAAACGATTCAATATAACAAGATGTGTGTGATATGCGGCAAACAGGTCAGTAATCATAAATGTGTGCAAAGACCTATAATAACGCAGACGATTGCTTCTAATAAGATGTATGTGATATGCTCTGTCTACCGAACATCTATTGGCCATTGTGGAACGGGCAGTCATCCGGATACGCCATAAGGATGTGAAGAGGCATTCCTATTAGCAAGGACTAGTTGTTCCACCAGTAGCTCATGTAAGAAAACTATCAAGTTAAGTGTGCTCAGGCTGGAGCAGCCATCGGATGGGTGACTGGATGGGTAGTTGTATCGATGACCGAAATGCCCCATTCCCTCAACTAATTTAAGCTTGAGGTCCTTGTTTTTTACTTTTTTTATTTTTAACACATGCTAAAGAAGGTCTACCGCATTACTTTTTGACAATGTGCGATATGTGGCATACAGTTGATCCATCCAACCTATTTGTGATGGAATAGGCCGTGTGTGTTGTGGGCAAACGCTTGCTAGTATTCAACCGTTTGGGATTGATGAATTCAACACCGACGGGTTCCCTAGTGTGGTTCGTATTCATCTGATAATCATCTACTTCTTGTGCTAGCTCGATGCTAAGTTTTCATTAATTGATGGTGTTTTATGAACACGCCAGCGTTTCCCGCCATTTCCTCACCTGTTTCCCGCCACCCTGCTAATTGCGCATAGGGGGCGCGCCGCACGGAGGCGACAAGCACGGCCTGTAGCACATCCACCTTTTCCAAGCATGCCAACCCACCAAAGCGCCACCTCTACCATCAACCTCATCGACGAGGAAAACGAGCAGGCGCCACGGCCCGTCGAGGCTGAGGCGCTCCCCGACGACGCGATGGACGGTGTCGTGATGCGCGTCATTGTCAGGGTTGAGCAGACCTTTGGCGCATGGTGCTTGAGCACCGCGGATCAAGATTTGCATGTTAGCGCCGACTGGCTGCAACTCGCCGCACAACATGATCGATGGCGTGCCGAAGAGCAAGCTAGGCGTGTTCGTGCCGATAGGCTGCGGCTCGCCGCACGGCGAGATCGTTGGAGCGGCGCAGAGCGAGAGGCGCGGCGCGCCGCAAAACAAGAGTGGATCAAGCGGCGCTTGCCCGCTGTCGACACGGCGTCGCAGCTGGGTACACGTCCCGTCAGTACCCCCATTCCTCGCTAGGAGTGGGCAGAGGCCCTCAGCGCCGTACTTGCACCAGAGGCCGGCCGCACCGTACTTGCACCGGATGCCCGCCGCGCCGTTAGCATGGGTGCCACCGTTCGCCTTGTCCGCAGCCCACTTGATCCCAACATGCTAGTCCATAGGCTCGACCGCCTCCTTGGCCCAGGTGTCCACCTGGGCGCAGTAGGGGAACATGGCCGTCGCATCCTCGAGCTGGTGATCTCCGATGAAATAGCCAACTTGGAGCTCGATATCGCGCTTCAGATGTACCGCGAGCGTGTCAACCGCTTGGACGAACGCATGCACGAGTTCAGGCAGAGCCAAGAGCTACCCTAGGCAAGGGCTGATGGTCATGGTCTCATGGATGCGTTTTATTTTAAAAAAGTCGTTTCAACGTGGATAGCTATGTATTCACAGCAATCATAGTATTGCCCTGTTTATTGCTCTGTTTCAATGTGTGTACTCTATTTTTCATTTTTATATGTTCTGTTTCAATGTGTGTATATACGCTTTCCATTCTGTATATGTGGATGATAACAGCTAGATTCAAATTAGTATACAAGAACACATAGAAAATGTAATTCATAATATATATATATATATGTTCATTAGATTATCACAGAAACTACAATCATCACAAGTAAGTATCCCGATTTCTATCTGTACACTTAACTATTAGGTACAATGCATAAAACTGAAAACGATCAATACTAAAACTAATAATCCCTCCTGGGGCCAGTATTCCGGCAGCCCCTCGCCAGCAGCTCCCTGGTGCGCGGTGATAACCCACAAGTATAGGGGATCACAACAGTTTTCGAGGATAGAGTATTCAACCCAAATTTATTAATTCGACATAAAGGGATCCAAAGAATATTCTCAAGTATTAGCAGCTGAGTTGTCAATTCAACCACATCTAGAAAACTTAATATCTGCAGTAAAGTATTTAGTAGCAAAGTAGTATGGAAATAACGGTAACAGTGGCAAAGGTAACTGTAGCGGTTTTGTAATGACTAGTAGTTGGGGCGCTTGTGGTGCGCCGCTTGAGGGGCATCTGGGCGGTGCCAGGTAGATGAACACCCTTTTTTACTTTCCTTTTTGGATCAAGATAGCAGGACATGTACATGCAATTCTATGGAACTTATTATATTGGAACATCGTCTGAGGAAGAAACTGAAATGCCACGCCCACAACGATATAGCATCGATAGGAGCATGTTTCTGTTTGGCAACATAGGATACATTAATAGAAATTACACGCATGTCGGCCCTGGCAGCGATACCTCCGTCTAACCGTGCGGCTGACGATGCGTCGGCAGTAGCTCGCCGTCACAGACGGCGACGAACCTCCGGGACATGGTGTGGATGTTGGCGCGAGGGAGATGTTGAGCTTGGTTTAGAGGTCCCTGATGGCAGCCCTAGTCCTCTCGATGGCAAACGGCTCCGCACTGACGATGCGGCGGCAGTAGCTCGCCGTCACAGACGGCGACGACCGTCCGGGACACGGTGTGGATGTTGGCGCGAGGGAGATGTTGAGCTTGGTTTAGAGGTCCCTGATGGCAATCCTAGTCCTCTCGATGGCAAACGGCTCCGCACTGTTGGCGTCCTAGTTCCTCGGCTTCCTTGCCTGCAAATGAATTCCACTTCATATCTGTGGCATGACTGGTTCTGAGCTTATAATGATTATATGAATTATGAGAGAAGCGAGTGTGCTCGATCAAACATACACGGACTTCCGGCTCACCTTGTGGCTCTGAAAGAGCTGGAATGGCTCCGGCAAAGCTTTACAGATGCCGACTTGCTCGGCGGCGGCGTCACCCTCAACATCCCCTTTCAGAGCAGTTCGTTGAACTGTCTATGTACAAAATATCAATGATCAATGCTACAGTCTACCTTCTACTTACGTTCTATGAAGCTATTTTCTCAAATTAGATATCAAAAGTATTAATCCTTAACCTTAGGCCATAGGAAAGAGCCAACAATTAGAAACAAGGAAATACTGGTGAAGATAGAAAACCTGCTTCCGGTTCTTCTTTTCTGCAAGGACTTTTCCTCAGCAAACATTTGTAACACTGGTTATAATTATTTCAGTTCTTAAAAAAGCATGGGACGAATAGGAGAAAATACAGGAATATCAAGGTAAGATCCTAGGAAAGGATGCCTCAAATTAATTGAAGGCCCACTGAAATGAGTCAGACATATCATGCAATATGAAATAACATTCTTCAAATTGTGCGAAGGAACTACCTTTGTTGTTCCATTGGCTCGATAGACATCAAAGTAATGTGAACTAATTCAGTCTCCATCTATCTACAACGTTATTATATCCTGAAAAAAAAGCAAAACTAATTATACCACCATAAGTTTTATACAAACCACATCAGACAGATATTAGATCGAAACGGACAAGAAAGCATCAATGAAGTTTAAAGATTCCACCCTCTAGATCAACATTGAATTGTAGACTTGACAGCGAAATCAGTTATTTGCAGCTTCCTTCCGCAAAGTTTGCAAAAGTTACAAAAAATAACCTTTTTTTAGCAGAACTCAAATAACCTTGTTGTTCAAATATGAGAAAGGTTATAGCTTAATGATTACCCAAAGTTCGTTCTCTTGAAAAGTGTATCAAACTTTTACGAGAAGGCTATACAATATTTTACTAAACTAAATTCTTTCAGGCTGTTTTTTAAAATCAACGCATCCCTCATCAAGTCATACTTTTCTAGTACTTCCTACAAATTCTTCAAAGAATAGTACACCATGACATAGTAATGCAATGCCTAGAGTTAAACATAATCAACTTTGGCAGATACATACATGACTGTGTACCATTGTTCCTGCCATCTTTTGTCAGTGCACATTGTGTCTGCTTGAACAACCAACTTCAAAATACTCAGTGTTTTAGATTGTGGAGTAGTCGTGTGATCTGTAAACATTTGTTCCTGCCATCTTTTGTCAGTGCACATTTGGCAGATACATACTTTCTGTTACAATACATTAATACAACAAAATAAATAAATGCAATAGTAGTATAGCAAGTTTTTTAGGGTTTAGCATGGTTTTTGTCAACAGAGTATAATACACGAAGTTATTAGAACACCGATCAACCGAGCATTGTGTTAGATAGCAGTATAGCATGGTATTTCCAGAAACAGGAATGTGAAATTTCAAATTTTCAGCTTACAACAGAATACTCCGTGTTTCAGACATTTGAGTATTATCACACAATTTAAATTAGTCACTATCTAGTTCATAGAAGATGTTAGAAGATATTGCAAACCTCATCTACTGCATTATCAAGAAGTTTAGATATAGCTGCACGGCAATAGAGAAGTTATTAGATAAATATTCTACATGGTGGCATACGATCTTGAAGATCAAACTTAAAGAAGAAAAGTCATGAGTACATCATGCCTTTACTGGATTGATATTCATAATTATTTCAGTGATGAACTGAGCTTTATTTAAATATTATTTATTTTTGTCTTTCGCCAAAACCTAAAATAATATAACCTTGGCAAGAGGTATCCCTAAACCTCTACCATATATCCTAAAACACCTAAAACGGGGACTAACCCAAAGTAATAGAAGTGCCTATGAAATAGTTTTAACCGACAGAATCAAACAATAGAAACCGAGGCCTGACCCATCAGCAAAGATGAGAGGATGGATACATGGATGGGATAAAAGCGAACGGTTCCAAGGCGGGAACTGGGTGCAACCTGCTCGGATGGGGAGTGATTTGGCACTGCGGATGCAGACGAAGAGGAGGCATGTGGACGGTGAGCTTTGCGCGCCTGACGCTCGCTCGGATCGGCATAGTAAACTAACCCTGCATCCACTTTATAGAAAAGAAAAGGCATCATGCTTGTATTGACCACAGCAAATCGAGTCAAGATTAAATTTAGGTAAATATATAAATTTGGCAATGCTAAATACCTCGAAGGAAAAATGACTTGGAAAATCTGATCAATAGAATAAAGCAAAATCAAAAGAAAATTTGCTGGATATAGCTGTTGTATGTGGTGTTGACACGCTCGGCTACGTATGTTGCATGTTCCCCTTGCTTATCATGTATGGCTTTGCTCCCCTACACGAATTATGACTCCTCTGGCAATATAGAACTTGCAAGCTAATTATTTCTACCATTATGTGCCTCCTAATGATCCATGAACCAATGAAATATATATAGCCCTCCGGTGGCACTTGGAGATTCAAAGATACACATTTGGCCACTCCAAAGAATAATAGGTTTGTGATTCAAAATAATTGTTAATCGATTGAAGCATAAACTTGGTATAGAAAAGAAAAATGATTAAATTGTCTATCTGAACCATATGATCATTGCAACTCAAAAAGGATGCAGCATTGCCGATGAAAATAAAATAGACAAACCTGATTGATAATCAGTTGTTGAGTCATTGGCGCTCAAATCGCTCGCCACCGTTAGCATGCTTGATTTCGCAACTTGTGAAGAATGATGCAAATGTTATAACAACAAATGAAAGTATTGGCCTAAGAACAGTCACAGTCACGACCTTTGAGCTCCTCAATGAAGCTGTTACAGAAGAAGTCAATCGTACTGGATATTGTTCCTGTCTTTTTACAAAATAAAATAAGCTGACTGTTCCTATCAGTAATCAAATACTTGAACAATCAATCTAGCATAAGATCATTTTCTGCGGCAGCACTGGAGGGAACCCGAGGATTCCACGGCAACCCTTATGGATGGGCAGCCTGCAAAGCTCCAGATTTTCGACATACCTGCATCATTTGAAATGCACCAGAGCACAATCTGATCCAGTACAGTTGTGGACTTGTGTTACAAGCCAATACAGTTGTGGACTTGTGGTACAAGCTAATAGATACCAATCATTCATATTTATAACATCTGCTGAGATCATAAAGGACACACAAGGTGGAATGAGATGAGGCTAGAGTTAAGCTTACAACTGCTTTCGAAGGTCCAAGGATGCCGACATTCAGGATCTCCCCTTGAAAGAAGTTGGTGGAGAGGTTCCTACATTTGTCAGGTATTGATTTACATTAGCATTCTTGCCACCGGAAAGCTGTATGCAATGCCAAGGGAATCACACCAGCAACAACTTACAGGAACCAGATGAGTTAGGCTTAGTTGTACCTGCATAGATTATAAATTAAGGGCCACATGTTCAGTACAAGGGTTATTTTTTTAGCACAACATTCTAATTTGTGACTGAAAAAATATTCATCAATCATTCATGAAAACTTAACACTACAGCAACTCCACGACTATCCTTTTAGAAAAGATATACCTTACGCAATTGAAGCGTCAGATTCTCAAGAACCGGTGAATGTTCAAACGATGAAACAAGTGGACGGAGGTCTGGTTGCACACACCACTCATTCAGCAACAGTCTTGTACTTACTATAATGTCGGGCGCCATCTCAAATCCCTTCTAAAAATAAACTGAACAAAGTGCATATCAGTTTGCAGGGGTAAGACTAGGTTCCTATAATCCCTCCCCAGACCCCACCTTGTGTGGGAGCTTCTATGCACTGGTCTGTCCTTTTTTTAAAGTGCATATCAGTAACGGTTCAGGGTACAGTGTAGACAGCTAGAAGGAGCGGTGGATCTGAAAATTTGAAGAATAGATGTAGAGGCCTGTTCATAGTTTCTGAAGCTGAAGAAATTGTACAGAGAAAGGTATGAAACAATGAAGCAGACGGCAAGCCACCATGTGAGGCCACGCCCTGTTCCTTTCCCCGTTGGTCTCGCTCGCTTGAGGATCAGAGGTTTATTAAAAAAAAGGAACCACAACACTTACACAATACTGCATAGATGGGCAGAAAGAGAAAGAGTGATAGAGATCAGGGGCAAGGGGGAGAAAGATTCAGAGAAATTTACCTTGGCATCACGGACGAACCTGCCCCGGCTGCTCCATCCGCCCTCAGCAACAACAACAGACCGAGCGGATCCCTGCACCGCCGCCTCAGCCCGTCGCCTTGAAGCATTGCCTGCCCCACCGCCGTCACCAGGAGATACCGCTGCCATGTTCTCCTCCGGCCAGATGAGTTGTCGCATCCCGCGCTGATCAATTTTCAACCAAAAAAGGAAATGAAGATAGTCGAATGTATCTTTCCAACTCACAGCCACCCAATTATGTATATGGTTTCATGGTTCGTTCTTATACTCTCACTAGTAGTTCTGCTTAATGCTTTTGTAACTCAAAGTCTCTCTGACTCTACAAAATCAAGCAAGAAACAGAAGATGCTAGCAGAGAATTTAATCCAACATTATGTTCTACTTAGCCTGACATACACTGCTGAAATTTGAAACAATGATTCAAACACAAGTCCAGCATGAAGAGTTCATCGTGTACTCAAGCGAGAAGGTTAATTTTGCCACAGACCAAACGTCCACTGCAGCTCCCAGAGCCCCATGAGCAACAAAACCAGCCAATCACACAGAAACTGGGTAGGGTTATGTAGCAATCTCCTAAGAAATTCTGCTCAACAAATACTGAGGAGATAACTTGGCCCAGGAGAATCTAGCGGCTAATTCAGTAACGAGAGGCGGACCTGGAATTAGGTAGTTGCTACGCGGGGGGTCTTGAAGTACTCCTCGTTGTCGGAGCCGAACAAATCTCTCGCCTCCTCTTCCTCCTCGTCCCCGTACCCGGCGGCCGGCCTGACGGGCACGACGCCGAACAAGTTGTACTCCCTGCCGCCGCCGGCGGGGCTGTTGCTGCGGCCGCTGGAGGGGCGCTGGAGGAGGAGGCGGTGGCGGCAGAGAATGAGGAGGATGAGGACGGGGAGGAGGAGTCGGACGAGGCGCCGCCTCCGCCCCCGTCGGATCAGGAGGGATGGGAGGAAGGAGCGGGGCGTGGGGAGGTCGTTGATCTGCCACCCGCCGCTGGTACTCGCCGGAATCGGCCGTCGTGAGTGGTGGCGGCGGTGGCGGCGAGCCGGGGGGAGAGAAGAGAGGAGGCTTGCGTGTGAGAGCAGGGATCGACGAGAGGAGCCGCGTTTTTTACTTTTCCCCTTCGGCATAGTAGCCTAATCCCAGCAGACAAGTGGACTAATGAGCCAAAAATATTTCAACTAGCTTATGTTGAC